TTTGAAACAGATTTAGCAAAAAAAAAAAAAAAAAAAATAGTTCTAACATAGCTTTTAAAGCAAATGTTTCCTTCCCTAAACAAAACCTAGAGATACAGATTTGTTATTTACGGAATAAATAAATGTGGCACAACTGTCTTTTAACTCCTGAGTCTTGCATCTGTGAAAAATGGTTGGAGTGGGAGCAGAGGGAGTTATAGACTGTTATTTTTAGGACTGCCTTGTGTTGCACTTCATTCTTTTTCCAGGGCTGTTCCTGGCTAACTTTCCCATGAGTTTTTAACCTCTTGCTCTTGTTCTCTTATGTAACAGGAAACAGGCTGACAGGAACAAATAAAACACAGCATATCTGATAGTTGCACTCAGAGGAGAGGTTGATTTAGTTAGCCCTGCCTTCTTTCCTCCGAGCAGATGCTTTTGGAGATTCAGATGTGCTTCTGTTCCTCTCCAGTTGTTTCCCGGGAAGCAGTGACTTGTTTGTGTTCAGCAAGTGGCACCGAAGTACCGCAAATATGAGAAAACAAATGCATTTCTTTTAAGGTTGAAATTTGTGGTGGTGTCATGTCCTGGGATTGTGGATTTAAGTATCTGTTTGCTCTTTCTCCCACCCTTAAGGCAGGAGTTTTATGCAAGCTTCAGGGAAGAGATGACATCGGACGGATTGAGCTGGTCCAAAAGCTGGCGAGAGAGAACTGCCAGTTTTTGCAGGCGGATAGAAAAGCACTGGAGAAGGCAGAACAAGTAAGACATTTCTTATTTGGGTTTTTTGTTTCTTTCGGGTAGGGGAGGGAGATTTAGGTCACAAAACTGAAATAGCAAAGCTGATGGTCAGAATCCAGGGCACACATTAGTCACGGAGCTGTAGCTGCTCTCCTCTGGCATTTACATTTCTCTAAAGTGTGTTCAGGTCAATAACTGTCAACACACTTAAATTATTATGTTGTCATTAACTGTCAGATGCTGTTATTAATATCTTATATTAGGATATAGCAGATGATTTCAGGATGCTTTTTACCAAATTGTTGGGTTTTATGGTGTATTTAAATAATGTATAAGGCATATGAATGCTTCAAGTACTCTAAATGATCTTAAAATTACTTTACTGGGGACATATTTGGATGCAAGTATTGGCTGAAACTTTTCAGTATGAATTAAAAAGAATGGTTTAGATAGGGAATTAAGCAGTTTGTGTTTTTTTCTTTTAAATTGTGTTTTCAATCAAAAGTTACACTGAAGAGAGCAGCATTCTGTTTAATGCTTCTGAAAGCACTTATTCAGATATTAATAACTGGACTGAAAATTCACAGAAACTTGACTGCTTTGCTTATAGCACAATGTCTCCTAATTTTGTTCTCCTAGTAAAGATTTCTATTCTGATTGCATATTAATCTAAAGGTTCAGAGGATAATAACTGCAAGAAACAACAGAAAACTCACGTAGTTTTCATTTCTCTTGCCATTATGTATATGCAAGTTATTCCATTTTCTGATCACTGGACAGTAAAAAAAAGACTTGTACTTTAGAAAAGAAGTACTTTTCAGCTCATCTGCAAGTTCATTCCTACTGAAATAAGGCTGTACAAAGGAAAAGAGAATGATGAAATGTTTTTTCAGAGCTTCATGCTGTTCTGTTTGGCAGCATAGAGGGTCTGGTCTGGTGTAGTTAGATGTGTAATCAGTAAGTGCAGAAGGGAGAAGGGCAGTTAGCTAGGCTAATTACCCAAGATTAAGTTGTTTCTCAGCTGACCCTCTAGCAATGGATGTCTGGGAGAATTTCTGTATATCTTTCAACTGTATCCACAAAGCACAATTAAAAGTTGAGGTGCTCAAGCAAAGATTTTAAACCGGGGCAGATTTCTATTGTGTTTCAGGATTTGGAAACAAGATTACAGATATGTGGGCATAGACGAGAGGGGAGTGTTGAGACTGATACTCAAAAAATTCAGTGGATATTTTTGCTGCTACTCTGGTCATTGCAAAGGGTGCTGTGGAGTCAGCTGCAGCTCTGTAGCTGCACAGATTACAGTACAGTTCCAAAAATGGAAAGGAAAGCAGCACTCAGCTTTTCTTCTCCTTTTGAAAAGTATGGTACTTAGCAGTTGCTGCTATTTAGGAGATGAGTGACTTCAGTTTAGCAGGAGCTCAAGCAATTTGCTCATACCCATCCTGAGCAGTATAACACAGCAATTACTGCTCTCAGACAAGGATATGCCTTTAGACCTTTAGGACATATTTTAGAGGTGACAGCAAAGAGAAATGTCCTCTGAGAGACCTGGCAGAAGCCCAGGTCATTCCTCATGTGCCCTTTTTTTTCTGGGTGGGGAATGTCCTACAGCTCGTGCTGGCAATAATGAATCATGGTGTGCTTCTTCTCTCTGTTCTGCACATTGCTGGTCATTGTAGGGTGCATCCAGGCAGCCCATGCCCAGATATAAGAGAGACCTAAAGTCCTCATTGTGGGTGTGTCTAGTAAGTCCCCAGTTAGACTACTGACTTCATTAGGAATAGTCAAGAAGAAGGCACCCTGAATATGGGCAAGGTTTGTCATAGCTTCTCAGTTTAGCTGACTCAGGTAACTACTTTCACTGGAAAAAATGCACACATTGCCCTGGCAGGGCAGTGGGTTGAATATGTTCAGGATGCCATGAGCTCCCATCCCTTCCTCTCCCTCCCTTCCTCCTGTGTGCTCTGAGAGCTGATCCAGCGCACGTGCAGGTGACAGGATTTGACTGGCTGGGCAGGCTTCACTGCTTCAGGCAGATATCCCCCCTCTTCTCCAAGGAGAAAAGCAGCAAGCTGAATTGTAGTGAGTAAATTGTAGAGAATACTGCTTGGATCCAGGATTTCAGCCCTTCCCATCTCATCCTGCTGCTACAAAAGTGATGGCAGATTCATTGGCATTGGCTTACTCTCCAGTCCCTTGGGCTCACTGTAAAGGTTAGAGGAACAGCATGTTCAGGGTGTGGTATCCTTATTATGTGTGACGTGCCCATCTTTCATTTTTTTAAAAGTTTTTAAAGCATAGCTCATTTTACATTACTTTCTTTGTAACACAGGGTGATGGGCACTCAGTGTAGGAGTAAAATGGAGATACTCTGTGCATTTTCCCACAGCACCCTCATTTCTCAGCAAGTAACCCTGCATTAAAGCTTTCACCAGCTTTCTCTCCTGGGGAGCTCACACTGGGCTTTCTTGGATGATCTGCCTTCCTCAAAGGAATGGCATGCAGTCTGTAAATGAGAGGCCTGAACACCCTGCCAGGCTGTTCTCCCTGCCCTTGGAGAGCCTGCTTATCCGGGCTGGCCTCCTGGCAGCTCAGCTCAAAGCAGAAATGCTGCTGGCTTGCAGGGCTTTGTGTTTCTGTCAGCATGGGCCAGTGTCACTGCTAAAAGCTGGGGGCTTTGTAACCTGCCTGGAAGTTAAGCTGCTCTTTCCAAGACAGCCAATGGGAAATTTTGCCTGAAGCAGAGTTCTCTAGTTTGTTCTCTTCTAGGAATATGAAAAAAACCCCAAAACCCCAACTTGAACATGTAGTTGGAGTTGTGCATATGCATAATTCCTCTCTACATGTATTGTGTTTTAGGCATGTGATGGGAAATGGAGTTGTGATTCCTCTGGTGTTATACCCACCATTTCTAAAGCAGGTCTCTTCAGATCAGTACAGACTCACATGGGTGTCCAGAATTAACAGCAAATATAAATGTATTATAATTGAGCTCTAGTGATTCCTGTGCTTTTCTGTAAAGGAGAAAGGGTTGTCAGCCTAATTGAAGAATTTGATACTGATTTGGTAGCCCAATAACTCTTTCCTGTAGAGTGAATGAGGTGTGGAGTGTGATAGCAAGTTAGACTTGTTGATTATGAGGACTGGTAAACTCTCCTGTCATTCAAATAAATATTCACCATCTTCATCTGAGTTTGAGTACAGAAGTTAATGACTCACTTAAAGAAGATAAATGACATTTGGATGCACAAGAGGTTTATTGGCAGATAAAGTTCCTAAAGGTGTTCTTTGAGGTGTGGTGTTGGAGGTTTGTGGTCCACAAGGAATAGGTGAAGCATGGACTGGTTTGGGTTGCTAGTTCAGGAGAAGAAATATAATTATTTTTTCTCAGAAAAAGCAGATGGTCTGGAAGAGTGAATATGAATGACAGTTGGCTGGCTCACTGGTAGAAAGCTTGTTTTGGAACTAGTGGGTGGGAAAAGGGATTCCTTTAGTCTGCCTGTATTCTGGAGGGTGTAAAATTGGGGTATATATATCTTTATCTGTAAGATGATTTGTACAAAATCAGAAAGTCCATGCTGCTTCTTTTTTTTTAGTTTTCTGGTATGCTACCATTTCACATTTATGGTCTGAATGAAAAATGAGCTTTGAATAACTCATAATTTAAAAAGTTCTGTGTTCAGTTTCTGTTATATGTGAGCTGCTGAATTGATTTTGACACTGGAAGCTGACAGTGACCAGGCTAGACTGGTATATTGGAACTGGTGCTCCATGGTAGCACACAGTGCCAGCTTCTTCTCTGGTAAATACAGTGTTTGAAAAGTGCTCTAACTATAATGGGTGCTCACAGACTTGTAGAGAAAAACAAAAACTAACGGTGACTTTTTTCCCTACTCCTTCTTCCTAATGTGTTAGAACAAGGTGCTTAATAAAGGCACTGAACCTACTGTATGTATTAGTTTCCCTGAAACTTCAGCTTTGCTAATGAGTAGAAAGTAAATAGAACTAAATAAGCTTCTAAATAGGCAGATAAGCTTCTTCTCTGTGCTTTTGCATTCCTACAGTGTATTGATAAATAAATAAAATGAAATTATTGTATAAAGCACACAGAAATTATTTTAATATCAAATGTGGGGTAGCGTAAAAAAACTATGCAAGCTTGCAGTTCTATTTTTATCATGACATGCAAATCATACTCATAAGCCTAGGGAAAAATGAAACTGGATATTTGTATTTTTATGTAATTTAAATATTTCATTTCCTTAAAAAAATTGCTTTGACAGAAAACAGATTAAAAAAATATATTGAAATATTCAGCTATAGAGCAAGCCTGCTTTTTAGAGAGGTTTGCTTATTATTAGCATTAATTATAATATAGAAAGCAAGCTGTGTGTGTAAAGCCATTTGAAGTCATTTATCATGGCTTTTTTTCCCGTCCAGCATACATTTAGGATGCATTCAAGGTATATTTGCACTAAACCATAGTTTTTGAAATTCCTTTTAGCCAACTATAACTCGAATAATGCCTTTGTAATAATGTGAAAATGTGTTGTACAGTATTTCAAGTTATTATTTCAGTGAAGCGTTGCACTCATTAAGAAAATCATGTCTATTTATAGTGCCATTGTTTAAGTAAAATGGTAAAAGGGCTTTTCACCTCAGCAAATGGAGAGAATATTCTTTAGATTATAGTATCATTTTCATAGTCAGATCAACTGAATAAGATGTTCACAAACTGACAGTAATGTTCCAAGGAGGTTCTTCAGTACTTTGCTGCATCAGGAGGAACGGGAATATTTCCTAAATCCACCCTGTACTCCCTTTACAGATTAATCTATATATTAGTTAGAATTCCCTGCTGCTTAAATGAGTGCTACACTTGAGTGTATTGATTCTGTGACTTAATTCAAGATGAAATAGATATATTATATGAGGCAGGTATGTTTTCAGAAGGACAACAGATACTGAAGAACAGTTCTGTTAATTTGCTGGGTACTAACTTTTGTAATCAGTGGTCT